TGGGGGCCAGGCAGCCGCCGCGCCGTCCGCTTCGCGCCGCCGGCCCACGCCGCAGTGTGTCTTGTGGACGGCTCCTTCGCAGACAGCCCGGTAGAGCCCTCTCGGCGCCTCGGACGCGATGTTCCGCCGGAGCTTTAACCGTTTTGTAAGTATCCTCGCTGCGGCTCCACGCGCGCCGCCGGGCTGGTTCGCCAGCCGCTTCGCCCGCTCTCTCACAATTTTCTGAGGGGATAATGGCATCTCGATGAGACCCCCGCCACCTCCTTTTCAATTTTCACTAAAGCCCGAGGCCCAGCGGACGGGGTCGGGGGGGTCAAGTCGGGCTCCGGTGTTCCCGAAGCAGCCCACTGCCCCCCGGACTATTGAAGCGGAGCTGCCGGGGGCCGTTGGCCACTCTGCCTCAGACGAGGGCGCCCCGACGGCGGGGGACCGACCCGGGGGACCCTGGCTTGGTCAATTAGTCGAAAATGGCGTTTTATCAGCCGGGAGGCGGCTTTCTTTTGTTTCCTCCGCCACGAGCACATGGAGGTGAACCCAGACCTGTCCCTGGGGCCCTGAGGACCTCCCGGGGGCGCGGGGCGGGGGACCCTAGGCTCGGGGACTCCGCCTGCGCGGGCGCCAGCAGCTGAGGAGCGAGGCCGGGCAAAGTTGGGAGCCCCCGCCCGAGAAGCTCGCCTTCGGGAGGCTAAGGCCGGCGGGGCGATCGTCTGGGTGGGTTGGGTGGTGGGGAAACGTGAGGTGGCAGCGCGGCCGCCGCGCGCCCGCTAGGTAGCCTCGGCGAGAACGCTACGCCCCAGACCTTGAACCCCGTAGGAAGGCGGGCTGCGGCGGCCCCGCTGGCCGGTCTACCCCGTAGCCAACCCGCAGGAAAGGGCATTTTCATCTCTGGGAGGGATAGGCGATCGCTGGCCACCGACTCTTGTCGAGTAACCTGTTTACTCCTAAGACCAAGACCGTCCTTTGAGAAGGTAGCCGAGATGGGACCCGGTACTTCATGCGGCTATTTGTGGCAACTTCCTTAATTGCAAGGTGGGGTGGCGGGAATATTTTATTTCTGCCCGCGATGTGAAAGAAAGGGTTTATCTATAAATTTTGATTGTTTCAGCGGTAGGAAAAATGAGGTTGAGGGCTGTGCCCCACCCCCCAACAACCCCCGTAGAATCTATGCGTGAGAACTTGGCAATTCGATTCTTTTCGTGTCATCATTGCTAATCAAGCTTTGCTAACATGTCTCGTATGTCCAAAGGATTTGCTCTTATTCCCCACCCCCGCATTTGAAACTTTCGCCAGTGTTCTCCCACTAAAAGAAAGAATTGGATGTCCTTTTTAAAGATGACCATCACAACAATGCTATGTGTGTTTCACAAAATGAAACATGTCTTAAGAAATTGGAGCAGATTACCTGTGGCACAGAGAGGTTGTACATATCAAGTATCTTGCAGTCTATAGGAACTGGCTGTATTGGATGCTTTACTGAAGCGATTGACTGGAGATTGGTTTCTCACATTTAACCTAGGGAGGTAAACGAGTGTTGTGTTTAATAGTTATGTGTCCACATAGATTCTTGTGTTCTTTGAGTGTTGTCTGGGAGTGTCAAAAGGGAAAGATGACAAAGAGCCAGTTTATGATACTTCGATAAAGGGTAATCTTTTCACATGTCACTCTTACAGTGGAAAACAACTGGGCTCTGCTTAATAATAAATTCATTAGCCTAAAACTGAGATGTTGACAGCCCCATTTTTTTAAAAAAGGAGTTTAACGTTTGTAATCAAACTACTCAAGTGTTGGTCCAAAACCTCCCTTAGTTTTTCCTTTGCTAAGAGTGATCTGCATTGTACCAGAGTCCAGTCTTTAAGCAGCGCTGGCCCAGACAGCCAGGGCATGCAGTAGAATTTGCAGCAGTTGTTGAGGTGCCAGCCTGCAGGTTTGAAGCTATTCCTTAGTCTCCCCAACCAAGATCTCTGCAGAGAATCACTTTAGCTCACATTGAAATGAGCTTCGACCTCATTGTTTCGGCTGGAATGCCCAACTGCTTGCATTTTCCTGCGCAGTCATGACTATGGTAAGTCTGGGGAATTGAGACGAGTGCAGTAAGCTGGAAGGTTTTCTCCGGAGTTGTAGCTGAGCCTTAGGCCCAGAGCTATCAAATATATTGCTGAGGAATGACTTCCGAATCTTTGGTGGTTGGGGGATGCCATATTTTACCAGCTGTAGAGGAGTAGGTCTCCACTCTCTTCCTCATCTTTTATCTGGCAGAGGTTGAGGGACACTCCTGTTTAAATCACCAGATGGCTATACATACACATTTTGGTTGGACTTGAGACTTGCTCAACAATGTAGATGTATGTAGTCCAAGTTGTATGTTCTCTTTTGACTACTTTCATATTACAGATAGGGTTATGAAATTTTTTCAGTATTAACTGTTTTGAAATTGGTTTTGAATGTGAAATAAATTACAGTGGTGTCTATTATAGTTGTCGGTCATCAAAAACTAGAGCCTACATATTATGAGGGTTTTACATTTGAAACCTGTCCGAGGAGGTATCTCTTAGGAGTAGCATCATCTGTGGCTCAGTGGAGTTTGCCAAATCCTTTTTTTTTAAGAACCTTATTCCCCCCCCCTTCCAATTTCAAGCTAAAAGAAATAGTGACTCATTGTATTTTTTAAAGACAAGCCCTTGATGTCTTTGCTGTTAATAAGTGTCTTCTTTACTTTTTGATGAATTTATGGTTTTACTTTTGACAGTTTCAGGGTAAAAAGAAATTGGTGGATTTGTTGTAGGAATTTAGGATTTAGGCATAAAGGAGGTATCTTAAAATATTTAGGTTGGATGTCTTTGGGTGGAATAAGAACACAGCCTGTTCCCAGTGAGTATCGCCATTTTCTATAACTACAATAAATAATAGTGGCTTCATCTATACAATTTATTTCCTTCAAAGGTATGTGTAATTGGAAGTCTGGTGATTGGAGCTTAAGGGTCACAGACTTTTGTGTTAACCTGTTTTTTTTTATTTTTTACTCTTAAACTTTGTAATTATTACAGCTACATTTTCACGTTTAGAGTTTTAATGAGTCTAAATGAGAAACCCTCCCCCCCTTTTTTTATTTCATGCTTCATCATTCAAAGTAAGACATTCCTTGATCAGGTAGATTGGGGATTTGGACAAGTGAATGCTATAAATTTAGCTTGTCAGATACTGATATTAAATGATATGAATTTCTAGATCATGTATACCTGAAAGCTTAAATTGTGAGTGTGAAATACTGGAGGAAATTTTGATCTCTGATTCCAGGAGTTCTTAAACTGCTTTGGTCCCTTAAAGCATGCAATATACAGTAATAATATCACACAGAAAAAGCAAATCAAAGAGGCCCAGAACAGGAAGGATATTATACCATGTAAGGTAGAATGAAAATTCAAAATATTCAAGATAATATTTTGCCTTGAAGACAAAAGTGAATGAAATAGTAGCTAATTTATTTAAGGCCAAGTCAAGGCCAGTCTAGTGAAGTAATACGTTGAAGCAATTAATAAAATAATTCAAGTAATTCTTTTTCCAGAAGCAGGATGGTTTTTGGTTTCTCCTTTGAATTACCAGGGTAAACTACCTTGTTCTTTTTCACTTTACTGAAAACCTTGGGCTGTCATTAGTGATCATGGAAACTACTGATCACTTAATTTCATTATGTTTGGAAATTTATCTAAATATGTGCATTGTAAGTTACTATTTTTGCACTTAGACAAATCTTACAAATAAATGGTCTGTGTATTTTGGCTCTTACAAGTTCTTGGTTTAACAGGTGAACTTCACCCTACTAAAAAGCAACCTTTAAAAAAATAAATCGTATTACAATTTACTTTAAACTTGTGTGGCACATTAGATCAGTCTTTCTCAATTGGGAGAGAGTTAAGCCCTAATGCCCCAGGGCATCCATTGTATGTAATAAATTAATCTCTTTCCTAAGCACGCATCTGGAGACTAGAACTCCAAGCTAGAAAGGTTACCCTAGACTGGAAAGCTGCTGGGGACAAGAAGGGTTGGCTTAGTGCCTGGTACTTAAGTATGTTTCGTTTAACAGTTTTTATATTTTACATAAATAGTAACTTTTACTTACAGACAATGATATTTACAGTAAATTCTTTATGAAGAATGTTTAAAGAATGAGGAGTTCTAGGTAATTGGATGTGATATTGTGATTTTTTAAAATGAAGAATATTTATATTTGGTCTTCTGGCACAGAACTCCCAGAACCCTTGGCATTTCCTGTGTTGAGAGCAAAAAAAAAAAGGTGTCTTGTTAATGAGACGACATTTGGAAACCAGGGTGCTGAGAGAGTTAGTACTTTTAATCCACCTCCTAATTTCCTGGGAGGGGAGAGAGCCCAGAGGTTGAGTTCATTGACCAGTGGCCAGTGGGCCAATCAGTCATGCCAGTGTAATGAGGACATGGTACTGTACTGTATCTGACATCTTTGTGACCTGCCGGGACCCTTGCTTTTTATGAATGACATTATATATACTTACCTGTCATTTGTCATTCTGCCAGATACAGAGTGTATAATCTCAGTTATATTCTGGTTATTTGGGTTTCAGATAAAAAGGAATTTGTTGCATTTGACACCTTCAGTATGATCTGTACATGGGAAGCTGTTCTTTTACAAATAGATGGTAGTTTGATCCTGTGTAGGTAGGGTGGAAAGTTGATTTATGACTGAGTCACTATTACTTGAAATAAGTATTTATTACCAAATTATTTATTCGGTGACCTGAAAACTAGTTTTATCTTTTTCCTCCTTTGCCTTTCAGTGATTAAGCAGTAAAAATGAACATCTTCTGTAAGGGTTTACTTTTTTGCTCATTCTGTTTACTGTTGCTTATAATTCAAATCTTTTGTTGGTATTATCAAGTGCCTACAAAATAGGTAATTTCCAATGTTCTGACTGAATGCTTAACAGAAATGAAATTTGGGGAGGTAAATCTGGCCATTACCATATTGATGGCAGTTGTCCAAGTGAATGTGTCTCCTCACCCAGGTTATCAGTTGGCCATCCATTGAGCAGTGGGTTTTGGGAGGTAAAGGATGGCCAGCGGCCCCTGGGAGAACCTTAAGTATCCTTCTCATGTCTGGATGATATGTACAGAA